AGAGATGTCAGTTTTCAAAAACATCGATGCATCGATACATCGACTATTTATACATCGAGTGGAAAACTTTCGATGCATCGAACCAAACCACGATATTTTTGATGAATCGATATTTTTCCGACATCCCTAGTTTGAAGAACTTTTTCCTTTTCACTCCCTGGCTGCCACAATGATCCGGTTCTATAATGAATCTATCCTAGAAACTTTATCGTATAGTTGGCGATAAATTCAAAATGGGTGCGTATCATTGTTCTACACAAATGCAATATATACAGGGTGTCCCAGAAGTAACATGCCAAACTTTAGGGGAAGGTAGGTGAGGGGGTGAGCTCACTGATAAACAAAAAATTTTCAGGTAAAAGTGTCACCGTTTTTTGAAATATTTGCATTTTTTCGAATTTAAAAAAAATTGTGCCTTTTCATGTGTTTTCTTTAACTGCAACTAGAAACCGGGCAATACTTAGTAAATTTTTTATGTAAAATACCTCCAGATAGTTGCCTCTCCATACTCAAATGCAATGTAGTTAAAATATATTAAGGAACCATCATAAAATTAGGACTATTTCTGGATTTTTAACTTTTTGATATTTTCTTCCCCAACTTTGACTATCTCATTACATAAAAAAATTGCTCATTTAATAAAGATTTCAGAAAGGTGCCACACTTACTCTTTTGAATAGAAAAAAAAAGTTATAGCCGCTTTTGTGGGTAAAGGACTGAGACAGGGGCGAACGCAGAAATTTTTTTCCGGAGGGGTTTTAAAATTATTATTATTTTTTTTTTTTATTTAATTAGTTGCACCAAATATGCGTTTCGGTGGTACAAAATGTCTATATTTTTTTCAATAAATTCGAGTTATTACATATGTATGCATGAAAAATGTGAAATATCATTTCTCTACTGCTTCGTCTTAAAAGAAAATATTGTAATCAGTATTTCTTTATTCGCAACTTCTATATTTCTGTGGATGCTAAGTAAAGCTTAACCATCTAATCTTTGTTCCCCAGTTTTACTTCGTAAATATGATTCAAGCTTAAGAAGGAGCGTTCACTGGAAATAAGTGTCACAGGAAGTGTTGGCCCTATCTGCAAGAATCGGTATACCTTTAGGTACAGTGATTGATTGCAAACATCAGGAGCGTCTAGGAATGGTGTTGGACTATGCTCCGTAGGTAAATTGAAAAAATGCCTGTAAAGAAACATAATAAGGGTATTCATCAAACCTTATAAAATTATAATTGTGTAAACTTTGGAAATCAACTGTCAAAATTTGTATGGAAACTCGTTTACACATTTCAAATAAATTTCTACAACGATATCACTGAATAATCTTGATAACCTGAAGACAATGTAACTCTGTCGCAAGTGTATACAAAAAGAGAGTATGGGGCGTTCATGTAACAGAGCTCTTAAATTTATAAGAATATCTGCTTGATAAAGCTATCGGTTTAGATGAATACCGCTAATATTAATTTAAATATTAGCATGGCATTTGAATTTAAATGTAGAAAATTACCTTTGACACATTTTAACACATGATAATTGAAATGTCAAATTACGTTTAGTCGAAGGCGGAAATGTAAAAGCAGCATCCGGTGCCCACGGACATTCAAGGAGCTCATAATTCTCGTTATCGCTTAGTTGACGGTGACCAAAATTTGACGCATCATTAAGCGGAACCTGCAAGGACGTGGATATATAAATTCGGTTGCAGAGAACTTAAAACTTGATTTTCATGACGCACAGGCTTGTGAAATTACCGGCATAATGAAAACAATGAGGGTGTTGATTTTTTAAACTTAGGGAAGCGACCATTTTTGGGCCTTAATCAAACTACGCCTAAACGTTAATATTCATACATGCTAGTAAAATTCCAATAAGATTTTCTCTATCTCATCATTACGTCCTGAGAACTGTGGGACTCGGGTAACTTATAGCCCACTTTCACCAAGACCTGTTTTAATTTCCTTTTCCCGTAGGCATTAACCGCAGTTAAGGCGTGGTGGAAATGAACTCTTACTCTGGAATCAGCTGCACCAAGTTTCCCAGCGCCGGAGCGTATTCATTTTTTCCGTACTTGACACTCGTCAGATGAATTTTCGGCTGTTTGTGAAAATTCGGCAGCCGGGGGGTCCGAAGTTTTCAATTTAAAATAGTTCGTTATTTTTACAGAATGCATTCGGTACGTAGCACTTTTTGCTCTGATGATTCAGCGACATTGAAAATACACTTTTTCTCCCAAATAGATATGTAAATTAATTCCAATTACTTCTCCCCTTTTGAAAGCTTCAAAACCTTAAAACGCAAACCAAAATGTGCATATAGTATATATGTAGTACTTTTAGGGATTATGTAAAGTATGTATGTATATAAAGTGGTTTTACCAGAGCATCTAGACGGAGAGCTCATGCCCAAAAAACCCATCATTCTTCAGATCGATTGAAATTTTTTGTGAGCTTAGCTTGTTATCTATATATCGTCGCTCGAATAAAGAAACAGTGTAAAGGCCACATACACTATTATTCGATAATTGCACCATTGGATAGACAATCCCTTAATCTATTAGAAAAATCTTTAGTTTTCTTAAATATCTCTTTGGCTCACTAATTTATTCCCGAAAAACGAAATTGTATTTGTATGGTTTGTAATGGTTTATAAAAACTTCCAATTCGTTTTTCTCAAAACTATACTTTTCATGTTACACTATTTTATTATTCCAGCGACGATATATAAATGTGAATGTCTGTTTGTTTATTACCTTATAACTTCTGAGCCACGACACGGAATCGCACGAAACTTGGCAGACTTATTTGTTTTTACCCCGGGAAGGTTATAGGTATGGTCTTATTTGAAAATATGTCGTTAATTTCGCAATGCGGCGTGGCACCGCCAATAGACCTGCAAATGTTTAATCAGCTAAAACTTCGGAACCATAAGTCGAAAGAATTTGTAATTTGGTACGAAGACATGTCTACGGGAGGCGCTTATTGTAAGGTATATATAAAAGAGAGCGTGGCACATGAACTTGAAATTTGGCATGCAAACA